ACTCTGATTAAAAATTACATAAATCTGTTTTGTTTATTTAACCTGTCGACAATTTTAAATTTTAAACGTTTCTAAGATTTTGCCTGCTCTATTATTAGAAAAAGTTGTCCAGGTAAGTTTTAAAAGGGAATACTAAGGAAACCGTTTTACTTTTCTATTAATTCCTTTAGTTTTCGTCTTATTTAATTTGCTTCCTTTTTAAAAGGAACTTGCAATTTTAAACTTATACTATGTCCAAACTGGCCTTTTCACGTATAAACATTATTTAGAAGTGAACTGGTTATTGGCCCTAGTTTATTAATTTATTTCCTATTGGTAGACCAACAGTTTGTAAAATTAAGGTGTTCTAGACTTTCTGTATTACTACACTTTGGCATTTGTTCTCCTTCTTTAGGCATTAAATTTTATTTGTTTCTTTCCATGCCTTCTTTGAAAGAGAAACCGCCAATTTATTTAGAAACCACTTTGGTTGGTGTTCTCCTGTTTAAATTTGACTCTTTTGGGAATGACTATCAATATCTATTAAATATTGATGGCCTAATGAGAGTTTTTAATATTGAAGAGTTTCATAAGTTAACATTCTTTGATATGACTTTGAATTTAATAAGATAGAATCTGTTAAATAGATCAGATATAGTGCGCATTTCAAATCACTTTTTTAAGGTTAGCGACACACCAGCGTGTCTTTTATCGATCAACTTATACTTACCTTGGTTGTATTGCTATTTTTTTTAAGTTAGTAAGAGAGGCAGCTTGATAATGTTCTTTATTTACAACTGTTTCATGTTTTATGCAATTTTATAACTCTTTCGAATTTTTCTGTTCCTTTTGAAAATTTGTCCCCAACCAATATAAAAATCAACTATCAAAGTCATTGTATTAATGGAAAATTATATAAGAAGTGTTATTCATCATTCAAATGTTTTTTGAATGCTAAAAATATTGAGGGGGGTTTTTTACCTTCAAAGCGTTAATAATAAAGAATTCTTATATAATGAAAAATTAGAAGTTATCAAAATTAACGAATACCTGAACCTTAGCCTCTTCAAATTTTTTAAAGCAAGCATAGTCATTGAAATTTTTGGAAAAGTTATTAAAACAATTTTTATTGACGACGCTTTCCTTCAAAGTTCCGACTTGGAAGATACCCACAGTTTATTTTCTGTAATCTTGCACCTAACTGCAATACTATTACTTCTTTCATTTAGAGCAATACCTTACGTTAGAAAAATTTTGGTGTTGATAAGATAAACTCTTACAGTACACTTGTGTATTGCTCCAGACCTTACAAGTGTGTTTATTATCGGCATTACTCTCGAAGTTTACTAACGATTATCTATTACGGTTACATCTTAGTTTCGGGAAAACGGTTAGTGCTGCGTGAAAGAGAAAAAATTCAGTGTTCTTAAGGAGTTGGAATTCTGTATTCCTCAAACAGATACCGTTAGAGTTTAACTTACCCTTTCGGCGTGGCTTCGATTGTATGGCGCATTTCGAGATGAATGTTGAGAAAGCTAGCTTTTACTGTTGTAGAACGTAAGTTTATTCGAGAAAAGGCTATAATGAATGCTCGATACATCATTAATGGTTTTTTCTCTCCTGATTGTAATTTTTTGTTTATCACGGTTATTTTTGAGATAGTATTAAGAGAATTTCTTTAATTTCTATTTCCTCCCAGGTTAGTTTCGGAGTGTGCTGTGTTCAATTCGAAGTTCCTGGAATTACCGATTCTTCCTAGGGATACAATTAAGGAGCTACCAGTTAGAAAAGTTGAAACACTGCAAACCTTAATTAACTTAGTGCATTATAATATAAGAATTAGTCCCCCATAAAAGATCAGTTTGAAAAGGGTTTTTATCCGTAGAATTTGTGGTAAAAAGCGGGACTTGGAAATTTTTGTAGATGAGTACATTCGAACATACTCAGAAATCTTAAGAGTTAACATTTCTACTTTAAAGTTAACTCGTTTTCAACAAAGCGAGTGCCACTAATGTTGTTTCTTTCAAGAGTTATATGCGTTCAACTTTCTTTTCCTTGATTTGATAAATCATATTTAAAGCTTCCTTTTAGATGTATGACTGAATCATTAGTGAATGATTTAAACTCACTAATGAAGAATTCTAAAAAGGTTTGGAGCTCATTTTTAAAAACAGGTTATATACTGACCTTTTTGAATCTGTTCCTGGAAATAAAAATTATAAAAGTAATAAGTTTATTTCAGTCGTATACTCAAAAGGAGCCACTATATATGAAAAAAGTGAAAAATTGTATAAATTAGTCAAGATGCTTGAAGTGAGGCTTAAAAGAACTGCTAAAATTAAATGGGATTTTGAAGAAATGGTGCATTTCATGCACGGTCTTCTTATGCATAAAGGAAAATTAAACATATCTTATGCTATTGTCAATGATTTTAGCTACAACTTTTTTCTTTGCCCCTCCAATATATCAATTTAAAAGATGCTAGCAGGAGGATAGAACTAATAGTTGTCGAAAAACTAAATTATTGGTTCGCATAAATGTTTTGACCTCAATGAATTTCTTACTGATGCCAGAGAACATATATGGATAAATTTGGTTTGGCTCTTGATGGTAATGCCACTCACGCATACTTTGAGCTTGTTAAGCATGATTTACAGCTCCACAGAGATAGAAGCAGGCCTTCTTAAACAGAGTTAAGGAACAAGAGTTTGCCGAAACACTACTTTTCTAAACTAATATGCATAATGAACTACCTCAGTTTAGAATATACCCATGATGTCTTGAGGAAACGTGCCACTGAGGTGTGGCAACCCTACGCCCTATGTGGCACGACTGGATCAAGACCAATGGTCTGCAAGGTTCCATCAAATGAGGGACCTTTAGATATTTTTAGGGATTGTCAACGTGCTGAAAAACCTATTAACGCTGAAACCCGAATGTATCAGTGTCTCTTCCAGGAACCCTCTTTAGATTTTGTTGATATCTCAATAGAAAGGTTGATAGCATTACCGTGGATAAGCAAGATGAAACGTTAGTACACGGCACAAAGGTTATGAAGGCAGGAGTTATAAAGTTAGTTATTGTAAGTAGTTTTTTTGGGAATAGTTCCTGATATATGCCCTATTGGCAATCTAATTAAACTACATCAAAGAATAGAGAAGAAATACAAAAGTTCGGGCACGTTTACTTTAGGAAAATCTTTAAAGTTATTGTTTGATCCCCTTCGCAGGCCACCTGTAGATTTAAACGAGAAATTTTTAGATTTTTTAGCAGAGTTTGGTCTTTTAAAGAGAATTGCTGATTATACTAAAAAGTATATTTTTGGGGGAAATCCATAAATTTCATTACCTTTTTATATCTCCTAATGGTAGATGACTTTGTTTATTTATGGCCTGGGTTAAAGTTAAACTATGTTGGTGAATTGGAATTTTGTATGCCCTTGTTTTAGGGTTCATTTGTGTATCTTTTTTACTTTAAAAAAAAATTAATGTTATCCCTAACTTTTATTTATTACAATCTATGTTATATCAAATATATATTTTGTATATACTTCAAACTATATAAAATCTTTTAAAATAGGTTTTGAACCATGTGAACCGTTTTACAAACTTTTGTTGGTATACCTTTTAGTAGTAGTATAAATAATTTACTAATTACCTACCTTACTTTTTTTTAAATTGCTTTTTTTCTTAGCACTTCAAGTGTCCTTTTTATTTTAGTGCTCTTTACTCTTTGACTTTATTTTACTTCCGTCGAGGCTCTTATATTTAGCTGTTTTATAAATCTTTTGTATCTTAGTTGTTGATCATACGAAATCTATATTTTTCAGGTGTAATAAAAGCAAAAATAACTGACCCTACCTTTCAAAATTTTGATAATTTTTAAAATTTAGTATTTTTTGCGTATTTATAACTCTAAAAAAAATATATATGATTTTTTAAAACCCAATTTATAACCTAATTTATAAGTTCAACTTAGTAAAACAAAGTATTATTTTAAAAAAAGACTTAAGCTAAACCTTCGAGAGATTCACTATAAAACTTTAGGTGTTAGTGTAGTTTACAATATACAATTATTTCGTAAAGTGTAATACACCTAAATTTTTAAGAAATTAAAGTTCCTTTGATACCTAAAAAGAAAAATTCTTAGATTACAGTAACCAGTTTGTTGGAATCCTATAACCAAGATTAAATAATTTACCTAATTCTAACTTAAACTGTAAAAAAAGTATAAAAAAAAAAGAAATTAAAAAAACTATAATTTTAGTCTATAAAAATAAGATACATAACAGAAGTTCAGCTTATGGTTATTTTTAATAGGCTTTATTGAGTAATAATGATTTTATTACTTTCAGAATAGAATTGTAAGAGTAGTTTGAAATCTTATGGTATATAAATAAATTCATAGAGTTCGCTAACTAAAATACTTCGTTGATAATGGGGCCTCCCTCAACAATTATATCCGCAGAGGTTGACTAACAGGCCAGGGAGTGTATTCATAATTTTTTGTAAAACATTCAAAACCCTCAAAACTCCTACCAACACTAACCCTACGGAGACCGGAAAAAACCCCGGGGCAATACAGGAATTAGGGCCCAAAATGATATTTCTAATTTTTCTTGTGAAAACCGGTTCTCTGGGGGTAAGGGCATGTTTCATTAGTGTATTTCCTAATGTAGTAACTTAAAAATTTTTTAGTATACACACTGTCATAAATTCTTTGAAGTTAGTACTTAATTTTTGCTAGTGGTTCTCCCGCGCGTAATTTAAGTGGTGGATCTATTTATTCATCCTCCATCATTATCTTTCATAAAGACCTCGTTACCATAAATTCTTTTAATTTTTGAACATATGTGTGGGGTTTATCTCATAACAAAGTTAATGAAAATAAAATATTGGTGATGGATCGACCGCTTGATGCAAAAGTTCAGCTTTTACTACAAACGAGCGCTCCTAGCCTGCGTGACGGGAGTCTGATTGACGGACTAAGAATTCGGTAAGGTTACAATTCTATACTCCCTATAAAGAAACGCCATTTTATTAAGTTATTTGTACAGTTGCAAAATGATGAAACAATTAAATATTAATCTTCTTTATTATCATCAAGATCAGAGTCCAAGAAGAACTGTTCATAAAATGCCAGTAAGAGACTCTACTGAAAAAAACGACCAAACACAATAACAATTTACTTGATCAATATTTTCTTTTGTATATGCCAACTCGGTAATCTCCTCCAAGTAAAGAGCGTCGTTACAACACTTCAATAACAACTCTTCCTTGTTATCCCTAAAGGCTTGAAGGACCTTCAAGACTTTAAACATTTATAATATTCATTGTGTTTGGTTTAATTGCTAACCTTCTCAGAGCATGCAACGCAGTTACTAAAAGCTTCCCCGCGGGACATTAATAAATTATACAGGGACAAAAACCCTCGAATTTGGTGAGGAACTATTCCTAATTATTTAATCAAAATTAAAAAAAGCTTGCTTCGATCAACACATAATATGGAGTACCCAGAGGGGTCTCCTCAACTTCATTGCTGGAGATAGAAAGGTTAACAATATTAAGCAATGTTAAAAAAATAGTAATGGATATATAAAAGTAATTTTAAAGTTAAAATTAATTTTTTAGTACTCTTATTTTAGTGCAAGTTCACTTAAGGTTGTAAGTTAAGAGAAAAAAATTAAAGATATAAATGAACTGACCTTTCTGGATACTGTATAAAAGAAGCAAACAATTCTACCGTTAAAGCACTTGCTATAAAGGAAAGACCTTATTTTTATAAAATTAGCAGGTTTCCTCGGTATAATATCTTTTTTAGTTAATTTTTTTTTAGTCAACCTTTTATCCTATTAAACTAAAACTGCGACATAGTATTACTTATATGTAGGTTAAGGTAGAGGAAAGTATTTCCAAAAGGTATTTTATCAGCACACGATTATTATATATTGCAAGCCCATAGTTGCATTAGCTTAAAAAAAAAGTTAAAATTTTAAGTGACGCCCACTGTTGCATTATTATGTATACTGAAGGAAGCTACGCAGTAATATGTAGTAATTAGAGTGCATTATAGTAGCAAAGTCAGATATTTTCATTTGGTTAGGATGATATACTAGTGGCCGAAAATAGACCTGGCCTCGTCACTGTGCATTGCTTGTCCAATGTTCTGCTTTCAAAGGATTTGATGTAGGTAATTAGCAAAGAATCACATTAATGGTTTGTATAAATATTACATTCACTGGAGCCACAACATCCGAGCAAAAGTAACAACCTTAAATGAAAATAATTATAATATTCCATTAAAACCTTTTTCTATACTGACTACTATCATTATTTTATCTTAATAATAGTTTTTTAATAACTCAAGCGTTTTTTAATAGGTGTGTCGTAATTTCCATGGCGCATAACCACAAAAGAATCGAAACCCAAAGCGGTATTCACACAAATCTATTAGTTTATCCTCAATAGATGAAGCTTAATTAAATCTAAAAGCTGCGTAACTTTATCATGAGCCTGGCAAAGGACAGTGGGCAACCACCTGCTTTCACGACTATCAGTTAGCAAGAATATAGCGTCGTGCTCTATAACAAGTTCTTCTAGCAGTTTAAATTCCTAACAAGAGTTTGTTATAAAACTATACTTATTAGTAATATTGCAAGCATTAATTTTTTTGAAAATAATGCACCCCAAACTTATATTAACTCCTAATAGCTTTTATTTACTTAATTTAAGATTTCTCAAGGTATTTTGTATACACTTTTAAATAGAGCGCACAAAAAAGTAAAACATTATTATATCAGTGATTACTGCTGAAAAACCAACTTGTTTAACTTTATAAGAAATTATATAATAGTATCGCAACCTGTTATAAAAAATATCGCTAAACTTATTTGTAAATATGTAAAACCTTCAAAGTCGAGTCTACCTCATCAATGGCGATGGCATGGCCCGGCATAGGGACAGTTATTTCGTAGGCCCGGCTTTGCTATTGGCAAAGATAAAAAAAATTATCAAGAGGAAAGTTTATTATTATAAGTAGCAATAAGTGTGTGTCATATAGATAGTGCTTACACAGTTGGGATAGATGCGTTTAAGCGCTTCCGCCGCCGCATAAGCTTTACACTTGCCGCCCTGTCCGTTTCACGTCATTTGTATTAGTATTAATATAATATTATTTTTATTAATTATTATTATTATTACTACTATTACCTGGATACTATCTTTGAAATCAAAAAGAGTTTGGCGTGTGGGGTTACTTAGGGAAACTTTCCTAGTAAAACAAGAAAATATAAAACTAACCTGTAATGACCAACTTATTATTTTTTTGTTGGTTTACTTAAAGCATAATAATTGGATTTTCCTACTTATTAAGCTAAAACTCTTAACATAAGTTTAATAATAATAAATATTTTTAATGAGATAACCCTTGCGTATTATTGAGGTTTAGCTACATAATAAGCATTCACAGTTGATAAAAACATAAAGGGCTATCCGTTATCAACAAAGGTCACGTGAGTGATCCCCCACGCGAGTAGACAGCGGCTCACATTACGACCTAGTGTACCCGCGCCTATGATTAGGCACTTCCGTAGATAATAATAAGGTAAAGCAAGTTAATCCAATAAAAAATAAATGATGTGTTTTGATAAGAAAATGCTAAATTGTGTTGTATTGGGTTATTTGTTCTAATTATATGTTTGTTACATCCGGTAAGTTATTCTTATTTTTCTAGCCGTTATAATAATGTGAATCCTCCAAATAAAAATTGGGTGGAAAAATTATAGCTGCTTTTTTTACTTTTACGGCGAAAAGTTTATCAATATCAAGAGACGGTCAGAGTCGCCACTTCATTAGACTCAAATTTATAAAGCAAGCAGTTTCAGCGATCCTAGCAATTTTGTAATTTGTGGTAATGAGGTACATATAAAAATTTATACTTATTAGGATCTAGGGTAGAACTCAAATCTAAAACTCGCCAAGCAAGTTTATTTTTCACATTCCTCTCCCAGCCCACTATTTTTAACGGTCCTGTTACCAACTATCTATTAATAAATAATTTATTTAATTATATATTCAAAATAAATAACTGTTTATATCAACTAAAGAAAAAACTTTCAGGCCACAAACAACTATGCTGTGTTCAACCATACAAACTCCGGACTTCCATTCTTCGCGGTAACACACTAACAAAAGCAGTGTTTACTTTACAATAATATATATAAGTAAATTTGATCCGACCAATATCCACCGTTTGGACGTAAGGGCTACAGTGGCATAGTATAGTCGCGACGACATTTCTGATAGGCCATCCTGGCGCATGCGGGTTGCCACATGGGTCGCAGTACCCAACGACAAGCTTTAAAAATTAGTATATAAACAGCCTTCCAAACGCGGTTAGAATACTAATCCACCTTTTCCTCACGCACTAAATCTTGCCAGCCGCGGAGGGGATGGGCAGTGCCAGTGATAAGATCAATTACAAAAAAGGTCCTTTGCTTATAATGCAACGCAGAAAAACTATCTATCAGAGTCTTTAACTTGTATATTGTGATATAAAAAACGTTATCATAATTATATTTAGTAGTAGTTATACACTACATTAGGTGCAGGAAGATACTCAGCGATAGGCATAATGTGCTGGAATACTATAGAATCTTCACTTAAAATTAGTGCAGGAAAGCAAAACCTGTTATAAAAATTTTTAGTTTTGCAATTGCTTTTAACTTTATTTTAAATTATTTTATATTTTTTTTCTTAGTTATTTTTAGTATAAAGGAGCAACTCTACAGAAATTACGAAAGATTTTTACTTGTTAAATTATATACTTTGCCCTTTATAACTGCTTTGCCTAATATTTTCTATTGAGCGCACAACGCTGCTTAGGAATACAAAGGAATACAAACCTTAGGTTTAAAAATTATTTTTTTTTACTTTTATTACCTTTTAAATATTTTAGTATGAATAGTAATAGGTTTTTTTTAAAATCAAAATATATTTAAATTTTTAGTTTATAACTTATTATAAGGCAGTTACTACTGTAGAGATTCAAAGCTCTTAAAAAGTCAACATAATTTATAATACATAATTCTCAATAGATCTTTAGTAATATATTTTAATAAAATTGTCTAAACTTGTAAATTTATAAAAGTATTACCAATAATAATACTTGTATTTTTTAATATTAGCATAACAAAGCAGGAAAAAACTATTAACAAGGGAAGGATCCTCATAAACATTTTCAGAAGAAATATCTGCCCATATCTAGTTAGTATTACCGGAAAGAGTTGATAAAAGTAAAAATACATATGGCGGCACCTCGTCACAAATAGAGTTAAGAATGGCTGACTTGTCACATTTTTTAAAATCTTCAAGTCGACTATAATTAAACAGTGTCCCCCTCACGACTGTTCCCACAGCTTCAGGAATCCTTTTTTTAAATTAAAGGTCTAGTTACTATAGTATATACAAAATATTTCAAACAAATAATACTCGTCAAAGGAGTGGCTATCAAGGTGAAATCGTGGGGAGTAGAGAAGTGCTTTTCCACTATAGAAATAACCTTTGTTGAGGACAATAGTTAAAAGAAAGTAACTTTAATATCTAAGGGAGAACCCCATAGAGGAGTTGGAGTATCGTCCAATTTATAAACATTTAGTGTTTTCCTTGTAAGTTCGTGCCAAAAGGTGGCATCAGGAATGGAAGTAAAGGGAACCACCTTTAAGACTTGAGACATTAATAAAAGCACCCTCAAAAGTGAGAAAACAGCCTACTTTTACCTCTTGTATTGTAATAAATAACTGTCTGTTTTTAAAAACATCCTCATTGGTAGAGTACTTTCCTTTATTTATATAATTTAATTAACAGTATAGTATTTCGGTATTATAAACATTTAGTAGCCCATAAAAGGAAGTTGCGCTTATAAAACTTAATAGTGGACTCTTTAGATTATAGCTAATGGCCATATTGTAATGCACTTTTCACCAAACCAAAGGCACCCAGTTTAGTTTCTGCTTAAGTTTCTTGGTGAACGAAGGTCGGTAATTTAATTATGCAGGAAAAGGGTAAGTGACCTGTGTACATAAAACAGAGAAAAAAAATTCAACGGAGATTCTCTTTCTCTGGTTATATAAAGTTAATCACCCTATGCTAACAATCATAAATTATTTATATTCACGTTCAGTTAAACCTCAACGTCCGTATAATCCAAATGTATTAATAGTTAGTAAAAAAGGTTTCAAATTAACTGGAAAAGTTCTCTTAAGTGCTACTTATAACAGAAGTTTTAGAAGCGCCTTATTTCTTTTTTGAAATCAGGAAATTTATGTAAGTTGCACAAGTATATGTAATAACAAAATTTGGGATTCATGGTTTTCTTGTATTCGTATTTTTTGTAATACTACTTAGTTTTATTAAAGTAAAAAAACCTAATAAACAAGATAATTTTGAAAAAACTGTATTCTATTATGATCCTTTTTAATTAAAAAGGGTACCGCGTTATAAGCAGCAATTTAGGCAACACAATTTGCGGTTAAATTACAAATTCTGTTACATAGCACAGTACGGTGTAACTATACTCCTTAATATATTTAGGTTATTTAACTTAAATGTATAGCTAATCATTAGGTCCCCCCGACTGAAAGACATACAATCGAGAATACTACATATAGTAATATTCAGTCTCAAATGTATAATATAATACGGAATTACTCTACCCCGGGGAGTACAGCAAATGAAGATCAGTTTTGCCAAATTGGGAGGCTTAAATTAGTATTTTAAAAAGCTTGTCTTTAAAATAAATTTTCAATCACTACTATCTTAAGTTGAGCTACCCACAAACTGTATAGCTTAAAGTACTTTGAATTACAAATAATTTTGAAATGTACACACAGTGTAGTCTAGTGACTATAACATAGTATGATTGGAGAAATAATATATACAAGAAGACTAGGCCGGGAATGTAGCATTTACTTGTGACTAAACTGACCTGAAAATCAGAATTAAATTCTAGCATTAAAAATTACTTAAAAAAAATTTAATTTTCTTGTAGTTTCAGTGTCATAACAACCAAATATAAAAGTTTTAAAAGTAGTGCTTACTGTTGTAATAATTTTGACTTGAGCATCAAAAATTGTTGCAAATATTCTCCCTCCCGCAATTTTCTAAGAGTATGGTTGGTAACGTCTATCTTTGTTTAACGTAAATAATCTAATGTTTTCAAGAGTCTCGTCAAAATTTTTTTTTATTTAGGAAAGTTCCCATGGAATTTTTCACACCGTCTTTATATTGTAACCTTCATTATGCTTTGTTTGCATACATTATCTATTCTCGGGTGAATGCTAATGATATCCGTTTTTATTGTTTATATCTAATTTTAGAGTTTTGTTAGCATATAGAGATTTAATTACATCTATATACTTATTTGAATTAATTTTCGGGATTTGTTTATATTTAAGAAGTTGCTCGTCTGGGGCATTGCAATAATTATTGCAAACTAGGTCATTATTTTAAAACCAAAGTTTAACAGTGAGTATAGAAGAACGACCCATTTTTTTTTGTCATTACCGGCATGAAAAATGTTCACTCTGAGGAAGTCAGTTCCTTCATTTCCCGATACAAAAAGAAGCAATTTTAAGTTTTACAGATTGAAGGAATCGTAAAGTCAGCAGCTAAATTTAATTTTAATAGAAAAATACTTTTTGCTTTTGATACGAAAATTTAATTAGCTCTTGAAATATAATAATTATCGCCGCTATTACCTTTGTGAGATTAAAAGATATATACTCGTTGGTAGATTTGTCGTGTTAAGTTTCTTTTTTACAATAAAAAAAAATAAAAAAAATAGTCACAGGATGTTCAAAAATATAAATTTCTTTATGTTGAAATTGTCGCATATGAAATTTGCTCCCATTCGGAAAGTTACATACAAATTGAATAAACGTAAAACACAGATAGCGGTACCGTTAGCTACTAAAGGGCGGTTTCTGAGTATATTTATAATGTAACAGACGCTTCAGAGCACCAAAGCACGAGTCATCGAGATCAAGATGCTACATTGCTCATGGAACTTCCTGTGATTATTATGCACTTCACAATAAATTACATTATGTGTAAAAGGTAATACATGACTGAGACTATCAGACTTTATGCTATCTAGTCGACTTTTTATATATCTTCTACACAGGCAAAAAGAAATAATATTTTTTACCTTTTTCGCTTGTTACTTATTGTAACTATACACAATAGTAAAAATTTAAAACACAGCAGATACTTAAGCTACAAGTCGAAAATTGATAAAAACTTTATTTTATGCTATAAAAACAAAAAAGTCTATATACCTGTTCAAGAAAGATAATAAATAATAAATTGACAATCCGCGAATAAATCAACAAATGAGTCGAGTCTTAATCCTTACGCACTTAAATGTGCGAATATGCTTACCCTGTTGAAGGCATTACCTATGCCTGAAAAGGCTGCAAAAATAAAGTAAGATGTTTTAAAAATTTGGTTTTGAGGTGATGGAGTCGCCTATAAATGTCCGCACCATAAGCTGAATAATATTTTTAAAGTAACCTTCAAAACCCTACTGGCAGACATTCACTTAACCATTTGTAAGTTTTTAAAAATATTTTTATATATCTTTTTAAATATTTAATAAATTTTCATATTGACCAAAAGTTCTCCAGTAATATTGTAACGACACAAGGGGTCCAGATTTAGGACCTCAAGAAGTTACTTCCTAAAATAAAACTTATAAATAAGCATGCTAGCCACAGAAATGCACAGAGTTTAAGTAAAACTTCTTTTTAAAATTTCTAACCTTGGTCACTGAAGAGGTAGCGAAAACAAAGAAATTAATCCAGTAAAACATTTAAAATTTGTTTACGAAATATTTTTTATCGTTGTTAAAGATAATAAACTAGATAATATAGAAGTAAACCTTGATTATAAGAAGTCACTGATGTTGCAGACCTCGGAAAACAATTAATAAACTTTATCACTAAACTATCGAAGCTCTGCCAATTACACATTTATTATTATTACGAATACCTAATTAAATTAAATATACATAATAAAAATTATAAATATTTATTTAATATTCTTTCGAGATAAGAGAGTTACGGAGATTTTTGAAAGTATCGCTGTATATTTTCATTTTTTCGAAGTTAAAAGCAATATTGTTATTCAATGCCGAGAATAGTGTATGCGAAAATTGCATCCAGGGGGGGATTTTTTGAGGACTAAAATTCAATTTTTTTTGCATTTGTATATTGTCCTGTAATACGATTTTGTTGTTTGTCTGTTTATTAAAGAATTTGTTAAAGTAATATTTAACTGGTTTGTTTTAATTTCGCCAATTATTAGAGTTTATTAACTTTAACCCGAAGTTCATGTTTCCATGAGCGGTTGTATACATAATACTAATCTTTTACTAATTATTCTACGCACCACAGATATGCTCCTTTTAAAAGTAGCGTTGAAGACCAAGCCTGTGGTTTAGTATAAAAGAAGAGTAGTTCTCTTTTTGTGTGTAATAAAAAAAATAGGTCATAATTACGACTTAAACAATTTTTTTAGTACTAAATTCTCTATGTTACTTCCAATTATTTTAATACTGCTTTCTCTGAACTGAAGGACTTTAAACTTAGTGTAGTATATAAAAAATGCACGTTTTAATTAGAATAATTTAGAGCACTTTGTTAAAAGTTTTTAAATAACCTAAAATATTTTGTTAGATATAGGAGACAAATAAACTTTTGAATATAATATAAAAAATTTTAAAAAGCAATTATAAATAAAATTATATGCTTCAGTTTATTGTTCAAGCTTATATTTATCAAGATCTTCATCAGTAGAAAAGTTTTAAGTGGTACAATCCCAGCTTAACAGTAGTTGTAAAAAATAAATAGAGATAGCTATAATAGATTTTTAAGATCAAAGTATGTTCAAAGTCATACTTTTTTTTCAAGTGAGTAAAGTTTAGGTAGCTTTTCAACTGGAGTGAATCACGTGGATAATGCAAGTGTGTGAATAGGAATCTTGCGGTGGAAGAGGAAGCTGGAAATTTTCTTCGAAACATACTCATGACTAAGTTATTACTTGTTGGCAGTATTTTTTTCTGCTCCGCCGTTCTTTCTTTGCTAGTATATGATTATAAAAGAACTCATTCTTTATCCCACAAAGAGGCGTTGCAAAGAAGTTTTATGTTCCACTTTACTTATTTAATTTTTAAGAGTTTATTTTTACAGAGAGGAAAATTAAGAAAATTTCTAAGAACACGGTGAACCAAAGTGAAAGCAAGAATTCTTCTAAACAAAAGGAACAAAGTACATTTATATAATGTAGTAAACTTCTACCCTGTTATTTTAATTACAGCTCCTCTGGATGACTTGCAGCCAATTGAAAAATTCTCCCTTCAACAAGCGATAATAGCTAAAAACTGTCTTGAAAAAAGTTAACTTATTATAATAACTTTATTACTGTATTAAAGAAAAAAATTGGAATATATTTGTAAATAAAAATTATTTATATTACGAGGTTTATCTAAAAAAAAATTTCTTTAGATGATATTCAAGGTTTCGTAGATGCCTACGCCAAGATAGTTTCAGTTCAAAAAGGTTTTTTTTTTATAGTTAATAATAAAATTCAAAAATTAAGGTTATTTAGTTTCTAAGCATAAGAATTAATGTTATTAAGTTGTTGAAACTCATGAAAAGTTTTAAAATTTGATTTTTTTTAAATAACTGTTGAAATTAATCTTATGAAAGATAAAGTCTTTTTAAAAGTATTACTTTATTATTACTTTATTATATTTTACGCTTTTGACATATTTTATAATTTTTTATCGTTTATTATTATTTTATATAGTTATACATAGTTATTTAATTTTTTTTAATATTGTTAAGTTTTTCATTTTTGGTCAAAGAATTTATTTTTAAATTTTCCATCTTTTTAATTCATTTTGTAATGGTTAATTTTTTTTAATGTTTTAAATCATATCATTTACGTTTTTTTTATTATAACTATTTAGTAACTAAATAATCCTTTTTACGTATTTTATAAACTTTTTACTTAGATATATATTTACTTCATACTTAAAGTTTACTTATTAATATATAGTTATACTTAAATTTTTATAATAACTTTATCACTACATTTGTACTTATTGAATTTTTATTATATTAAATATATATATATAAAATTCATATTTTAGTTCATTAGTAATTGTGCTCACAAAATTTTAAAATTATTAATATTTATTAGTATTTTTTGAGTTTATTTAAATTTTTTTAATAAATTTCAATTTCTAATTTTATTAGCTTTTTTATTTTTTATAGTAAATATGTAATTTTAATTAATTAATCACAGCACCACTTCAGTGTCTTGAGGAACTCAGCCAATTTTTACCGGAAAGTGCCATTATTGCTATCGCTCAAAAAGTTTATTATCTTTTGCTTTTACTATTTTTATAGTAAATCTACTAATTAACTTTTTAAGTATTAATATATAATATGAGTTTTAAATTTAATTATTATTATTTTAATATATATTATATATTTTTTATGATTATTAGTTTTCTTAATTTTTTTAACGTTAATAATACATATATATTATAATAACTAAATTTATTATTACTAAAATAATGAACATTTATTTTTTCTTTGGTATTTTTGAAGGTAAATAATATATATGATGAACAAACTTTGATAAAAAGTTTGTTTGTACACATATTTTATTGTTATATAAATTTGAAAGATAATTATTTTTTGTTAAGTTTATTAATTGTCTTCTGGTCATCATATAATAGTAGGATAAAATTATATACTAAATTTATAATTTACTTTATTACTTTTAACTTTTATTATTAGTTATTATTGTGAAACGATTTTTATATCGAATTTACACTTACTTTTATCACTTGCACTACTTCTATATATATGAAAATATTTCCTGCACTTTTTATAGGCTTTTCGATCGGATTTCTTAAAGCAGTTTCCTGAAAAATACGGAATCCACGTGCTCCACGACGCCACGAGCATGCGACGGGTCGTAAAGGCTGCCCGTCCGTTCCGCGCGGGAGAGACAATTTTTGTGATGAAGCCTTTAGTGGCTTATATGAATGCTGACTGCAATGTTAATATTATTACTGTTTATATCAGTTATTATTAATACTGTGTTATTATTATTATTACTATTTTTTATTATTAATATTATATAATATAATTCTTTTAGAATATTATTACTGTTTGCTATTATTTATATTATTTTTCATATCACTATTTACTAATATACTTGGTAATATATTATGTAACCATTATCTTTTAATCATATAAATTTGTATAGTTGGTAAATTTTTGAAAGAAACAATATTTTTTTATAAATATCCCTAAATTTTTTATTGTTATACATTAACAATATTTTTTTTTAGTAGAATTTTATTATACTTAAGATTTATTCCATATACAAATCTTTTGTATTGTATTATACTCATTTCATATTATATAACTTTATCAAGGTAAATAAGGTATTGCTCTTTTATTTTTACATATTTATTTATTAACCAGGAATACGACTATTGCTTTACCTGCAAAAAGTTTCTCATTGCTGAGCATGTATTTACTTATTAATATTTATTTATTAGTTTTTTATATTATTATTTTTTTAAAGTAATGTGTATATTGACATGTTATTTCTTGAAAAATTTTAAAAAAAAGTATTTATATATAAAAATAAAAAATTTTCTTCATTGAGAGTATATATATTTTCTTTTGTGAAATATAAAATATTTAAATTTTTTATCATTAAGGATTATTATTTATAAATTTTTATGATCACTTTTTTAATTTATAATAAACTTTTTATTATTATATTTTTAAGAATGGTATTATAATGAAGCATTTACTTTATATATTATTACTAATAACTACAACTTTTTTATATTTCATCTCATTTATTAACTTTTTTTATGAATTAGAATCTATTAAAAATTGTTTAATACTATTTATATATCCTTTTGAAGAAATTTTATTATTAGTAGATTTCTTTTTAACGGATAACATTTCTTGATTATTTTTTATTTTTTTTTCTTAAATTTACATAAATATAAAAAATTTATTTCGTCTGTTACCTTTTTAAATTTTTTAAAATATTATTAAACTTTTATTATTATTATTTTTTAAATATCATGTGTAAATTTTATTATTAGTGTATTATTTTTTTCTAATAACTTTTTTTGTATATTTTTTATTTTTTCTAATATCTTTTTGTATTATATAAAATTTATTGTCTGTTAACATTTTTTATTATATATTATAATATTATTTAACTATTATTATTTCCGCATCATCTTTAAAATATTATGTGGAAAATTTTGTGTAAGTATTATTATTTTTATCTAAAAAAATTATAATTTTAACTTTTTTATCATATATTAGGCTGTTATTAAACTTTTATTAGTTTTGTTCTATATTTATATTATTATGTGGAAAATTTCATGTTATTATTTTATTTATACTATTTTTATAAGAATTTTTATTTATATCATAAAATTTTTAACTTTTTTATATTATAATGCTTATTTAACTTTTATTATTTTTCTGTTATATATTTACATTGTTCTGTAAACTTTTTTATTAGTAAAGTCATATTTGTATATAATAACTTATTGGTAATTGTTTTTCTTCTTACTTATTAATTTTTAACACTTTTGCGGCCTTTTTATCTATTTTATTATTTTATATATTATAATATAAATCTTTATATTTATTTACTTATATTTTATTTAATTTACTTTTTATATATATATTTGTTACTCGAAGATAAAATAAAATAAACATGTATATTTATATAAAATATTTTTACACCATTTTTTTTAATATAAACTTTTATTTTTGTTTATATTTTAAAGAATTTTTTTTTGAGACTTTTATTTTATTTTTAAGTTATTTTTTATATATAAACTAAAAAAAAGTTTGTTGTTGTATTTTTTATATCTTTTTTTAGAAAGTTTTAAAATATTACTTTATAATACTTTTTGTATATAAAAATAATTTTTACTGCTTTACTTTTCTTTATGTTTTATTATATATAAATTTAATGCTCGAATCTTCAAATTTTTCTTTTTAGTATTTTTCTGTTTACTTGATATATTATAAAAAATAAAAATTACTTTTTATACTTTTCTTTCATTATTTATGCTAGTTTATTATTATATAAATAATAATACAGTAATTATTTTTTGTACAGTTACCTTTTTTATTATAGCATTAATAATACCTTTTTTCATTGTTAATTCTGTTTACTTTTTATATTTTTTTTGTTATAGAAAAAAAATGTTTAATAAAAATAATAAAATACTTTTTATACAATTATTTTTTTATCTTTTGTTAATTGTTATTATATTAAAGAGAAAATAATCATTATTTTTATTTGTTTATAGAAATATATAAAAAAACTTATTTTATTATTGTTTACGCTCAGGATATTATTATGTATTTTTTTTAAAAGTTTAGTACAACCTTATTATATATAAACTTTTTATTGCCTTTTATTATTTATTCAATTTTAAAAAATTATCAAAAGTTTTATATATTAGTTAACTTTAATATAATTTATCTATTATTAATTATTATTTCACTTATTTTATATTTACTTATTTAACTTTTCTTCTATGTTAATACTAATTTTTGCCAAGAACTTTTTTTTACTCATTGTTTAGATTTATTATAAATTTTTTAATTGTGACCTTCTATTTTTTTAATTTCAAAGTTTATTTAATATTTTAAACTTTTTTTAAATAAGTTTTTGTAAGGATTTTTCGCTTAAATATTATACAATGATAATAAAATTTGTAAATTTTTTAATCATATTTTTCATTATTTTCTATGACAGATTCGCTGTTCCAGATGTTGTGGTTTTGGTTATTGCAATAAAAAGTGTGAAAAACTGCAACAATTTCACTACTTATTTTGTTTTCCCCGCGAAAAAAACAATATGGAGAATTGCCCTGATCTAAGTGGTCGGCTAAAAGATCTAAAATTTTTTAGTGAAGAAAAAAAAAAGTCAATGAGCCAATCCAAAAGATTTTTTTATCAACTGCAGGAACTTGCCAGGACCTCGAAGAGGCCCATATTTTACGGTAATGTTACTATTAATAATAATATTGTTATCATTATATATAATATATAATCACTTTTATACCACACATTATAATTTTTATTGTTAATATTAATAATAATATTGTTATTATTATATATAATATATAATTACTTTTCAGCCACACATAATTTTTATTATTATTGAATTTTAATAGTATTATATTTTTGTTATTACATATTTTTATATGTACTTTATTTGGTTTAAAATACTGCTATTGTATTACTATATTTTTTATTTCATTATTTTTAAATATTTTTTCTATCATAACAAAACTATTATTTTGTTATTTTATTATTATTGTTAAATATTTTTTTATATCATATATATAGTTTTTAATTATTTCATATTTTTTTTTTAATATTTTTTACTTCATATATTTACTTTTTAATAAAACTATTGTATTACTATTATTATTATATTATTATCGTTATTTTTTATACATACTTTTAGTATACAATAAAACTATAATTATTATTAAAGTTATTGTATTATATTATTATTATTAATAAATACTTCAGGTTTATCATATATTTACTTTTTAATAATACTATTTTATTTTTTTATTATAGTTTACGTGGTATATATTATTATTAAATATTTTATGTATTATTTACTTAGTTTTAATCAAAGAATTATATTATTATTGTTAAAGTTATCTTGTATTATATTATCTTTAACTTTTATTTTTAAATTATATAAATACTTGTAAATGGTTCTTTATAAATATTTTAATAATATTATTTTTATTAAACTTTAATATTATATATATAAATATATATATTGACATTATTTTTATTAACTTCAATTTAAATTATTATTATTTCCATGAAACTTTTATTATTACATTAATATTTCAGGTATTTATAAATATTATTTAATAATTTTTTGTTATTATTTATATAATTATATATTTATTTATTAATATTGTTCTGTCAAACTCCAATTATTATATATAATTATTCATTATTAATTTTACTAAACTTTTATAATTTATTTATAAGTATTTATCAATTTTATTTTTAACTTTATTTTTTTAGTATAATATAAATTTAAGTTTTTTATTACATTTTATAATATTTATTAATATTTTATTATACTTTTACATTCAAACTATATTTATTATTTGTACATTTTTATTAATATTATATTTGTTAAACTTTTTTTTATTATTATATTAATATGTACTTAATGAATTTTATTTTTATGTATTTATCATTATTTATAAATAATTATTATGTGTAACTATTTATCTAGTTAAATTTTATCAAATTTTTATTATTATATATAATTATTTATTAATTTTTACTATATATATGTGTATTATTAATAAATAATCCTTGGTTTTATATTGTTAAACTTTTATAACTATATATTTATTATTATTATATATATATATATTAATATTAATAAATATTATATAAAGCCTTTTCAATAGAAAATATATTATAGTTTTTACTTTTTTTATATTACTATTTTATTATTGTTATTCAATTATATTTTATAATTTTATATTACTCATAATATATTTTATTTTTATTTTTTATATTTTTATAATAAATAAATTATCATGATTTTTTCTTTTTCTTTTAACATATTTGACGATTTATTTTTATTATAGTGTTTTTCTTATTATATGCTTTTCATAGTTTATTTTTTCATATTTTCTAAAATTATTTTATCATTTTACTAAAAAAAATATTTTTTATATAATTAATAGTTATTTTTTTTACTTTTTCTTTATTATTGCTTTCATTTCTTTATTTATTATTATTTACAAGTAAAATATATAATTTATATTTTTTAAACTTTTTTAAGTAAAACTTAATATTTTTATTAAGCTATTGCGCCGCTGTACGCTATGGTTGAGCAAAATGAGTCTGACGAGCAATTTCGAGATGCTTTTTCCCATCTATATATACCCACGCCGATGCCCAACGCCTCAAAACTTTCAAAGGAGGAGCATAATTTAATGAATAAGTTCATCAACCCTTCAAGTATTATTATGCTCATTAATCTATAATTGTTTACTTATTAATAATTTTGGGTGATTTTTTATGCGTCAACGTTTAATTATTATTATTATTATAATAGTTATTATTACTATTAAAAAGTTCATCAATCTTTGAAGTTTTATTATTACAATCCTTATTTTTATTTTTTTATCGTTTTATATTTTTTATTATTATCAAAAGTTATTAACACTTAAAGTAAAATATTACTCACTTTAATAATTAATATTTTTCTTAATAGCTCAACAACCTTTAAAGTTTTATTATTAATTTTATAGTTATTATCATTTTTCTTACTATATCATGCTTACCACTATCATAATATATATATTATATATTTCTATTATAATTATTATATACTCTAATAATAATATCATTATTAGTATTTTATCTTATTTTCCGGTTCTAGTACACCTTTATACATTTTTTTCTTTGCTTTAGTATTATTGTATATTTTTTATATTAATATTATTCTACTTTTTTATTTGTGTTATTTTATTATTACTTTTTGAAAAGTTTAATGATTTATTTATATTTTGTTATTAATATAAAAGTATTTATTTATGTCATAAATACTTTTTTCAATAATTGTTAATCTTTTATTATTTATTTTTTATACTTTTTAGAATGTTTTTTTCATTTTGTTTATATTATTAAATATTTTTAGTTAATATTATAATACTAATTTTACTTTTTTTACTATGTCAATTTTTTTAGCTTTTAATTTATTTTTATACTTATTATTAGATTATTATATTTTTTAACTTTTTAATAAATATTTATCTCTGAGTTATTATAATATTAATAAATAAATATTAATTTTTAGTAAATTTTTTACTATTACATATTTTTATATACATATACATTATAATCTATTATTGTAGAAATGCTTATTCTTATTATTTTCTGTAGATGATAATTTGGAATTCTATATTGCTTTAGTCTGCAAACTTTTATATAATCAACTTTCCTTCCAGTCGAAACCTTCTAGCAATGGAGTTAAATTTATATAACTTTTGTATATATATATTCCCGTTTCCTTTACAAATATTAAAAAAAAAACAGTTTTATTTTTTATATTTATGATTTTTGTGTTTTGCATTATATACTATATTATAAATATTTTTTATTACTATTTATATTTTTAATATTAATATCTTTTCAATAATAATTATTATTTTATTATTTTATTATAATTTTATACATATTTATTATAATTTTTTTAGAAGCATGATAGCCTTTTATTTTTTATTATTATGTATTTGTGTTTTGCCACTGTTTTTTTTTTAAATTTTTATTACCTTTATAATATTTTTGAACTTTTTTGGTGTATAAATACAATTTATTTTACTTTCTAATAATATTATTTTTTTATATAACTTTTTGTATATTAATTATAAGTTTTTTTTTAGTACGATAACATTTGTTATTTTCTTATTATTATGAATTCGTGTGGGTTTGCTTCTTATCATTATATTTCATAGTAAATTTTACTGTAAATTTTTGTTGCATTTTTTATTTTTTTTGTCTTAATTTCTTATCAATATTATTATTTTCATTAGACATTTGTAAATTCTGGAAAAGGTCTTTATCCTTGCGCCTCTTTTTTTGACCATTCCTGTTCCCCCAACGTGCATATGTTTTCTGCTTCTGGTAATTTTTTATATAAAAATAGTTTGTAGAATTATATATATTACATCTTTTATTATTATCAATTTATTTAACTACAAGTTTGGTATGAAAATTTTAAAGTATTCATCCTTTTTTATGGAAGTCGTTATAGAAATATTGTTAAATTATTTTTATATCTTTTAAGTTCATTACAGTTTTCTCGATAAACTTTTTTATATTACTTTTATAGTTAGACTAGTTTGTCAAAAAATAAATTATTTTGCTTTCATTAATATTTCTGAATTGCGCTTGAATATATATTCATATTCTTTCCTATTAATTGTTATTATTTATTTTTAAGCCCACATCAGTATTTTGATAAGAAATAATTTTATCTATTCAATTATTTATAAAAGATACTTTAGGGATATACGCTATATTATTTTATTATTTCTTTTTTTAAATTTTTTTTATTATACTTTATATTTTTTACTCCACTTCATTTTCTTTTACAAGAATTACTTCTTTTTCGATACAACTTTTTATACTATTTTTAATATTTATATATTTTAAAAAGTTTAGTGTAAGTTTTTTATTAAAAATATACATTACTATATCTGCTAAAAAGCTTCACTAATGTTTTTACCATTTTTAGGAATTTTTTTTATTCATTTTTTTAAGTCTACTATTTTTAATATTTTGTCTATTAATAAAAGTTTAGCGTAAAATTCTTACAAAAATTATAATTATAATTTATGAAAAACGCTTCTTTTTTAAAAAAATAATTTTTTACTTCATTTTTGGGGTCTTCAATATTTTTGAAATTTTTTTTGTACTGCGTAATAAATTGATATTCTTTAATTAAAATATATTTTACTATTTAAATTATTTAGACCTTATAAAATTTTTATGTATATTCTTTATAGTAATACTATTATTTTGTTTTACTAAATTTGTTTCTCTCAATAATGTTATTATTATTTTATTTTTCTATAATTAAGAAATAAATTTTTTTATATATTAATAATTATTACAAACTATACTTTTTTGTATATATCCTATTTGGTATATAATATTTACCTTTTTATTGTATTGGTTTTTATTATAATAAATATTCTTAATTTTTTTTGTAATAATACGAAATTTTTATTATTGTTTATTTTTTTATTATATATGTTATTTTTAATAGTAAATATTATATTTGATAAATAATTATGTTTATATTTAACGAACTTGTTATAATATATCAACCTATTATTACTATAAAATATAATTAAACTTATTATTAATTTGTTAATTATTTTTTTATTAACTTCATTTTGTTTATTTTATTATTAAAAATTCTGAATCATTTTATTATTATTAAAAAAACTGATTTATATAAAAACTTTTATTATAAAATATTTTAAAGCAAAAATATTTATTAAAACATTATATTATATTTATTTTTACTATATTTTTTTATATTTTTTTATATTTTTTAATATAAAAAAATTTTTTTAAAATATGTTATATATATATTGCTTTAATAAACTTACTCTATTAGAATTTTTTCTACCATACATGTATTTTTTTTATTATATTTACTAATTTATTGTGTTTTTGATCCACTTTTTAAGTATGTTTTATGTTTTATTATTTATTATTATTTTTTCCTCGCATTTTAATATTTTTAGGCACTTCTGAGCTGACCTTTGTTGCTTCTCAACATATCCAGGAAAACGAGCTTATGACGATCAATTATTTAGAGAATCCACGTTTAACTGGTATGTTTTTGCTTGTCTTTATGAGAAAGTAAACTTTTTTATTTATTATTTTTCATTATTTTTTTTTAATATTATAATAATTAATATTATTACTAAAATGTATATATTATTATAATACTTTTTTATAGATAAACTTTTTTATAAGAATTTATTTTTTTATATCGCTTATAATTACACATTAAACTTTTGTACGGGTTTGTAGTTTCTATTATATTAATAATTCTATTTTTTTTTATTCTATTATTTTTTGGTAATTATAAATATTATAAATTTTTATTACCCTTTAGAATATATAATTTTTTTCTAGATGTACATTTACAACTAATAAAATTATAATGCTTTCTAGTTTTTATTATCCATTAAAGTTTATTAATTTTTTTTAGTTTTATAACTTTTAACCTTTTTCAAGACTTTTTAGTATTAGCGTATGTATAATTTTTTTTTTTTCAATTTTGTTATTTGTATATATAAATTTCTTAATTTTCTAAGACTTGTTAGTTTTATTTCTTATTTTTTTTTTAAATTATTTTATTGTATGCATAAATTATTATTTTCAAGGTTTTCTAGTTTTTTTTATTTTTTTTTTATAAATTATTATTATATAATTATTTTTAAATTTTATTATTGTTTATTCGATTTATTATATATTTATTTTTATATTTTTTTATTTATTTTTTTTTATAATTTTATTTGTTTTTTTTCATATTTATTTTTAATATTATTTTTTTTATTATATTTTTTAGTTTTTCGGTTTTATTATATTTTTTTGTGTTGATAATACGATTTTATAGTTCTATGATAGAAGACGAATAATATATTTATTATTAGAGAGATAAGTTAGCTGTCATCATTATTTTAAGAAACCGAATTCTTCAAAACAACGCTGTTTATTGAATTCACCAATAAGTAACAGGAACAAAGATCCTTTGCCCCATTAGTGATTAGGGGAGTTCATTAAAGGCTACCATATTTATGAGTGATAGATTTAAGTTCGTTCTAGGGTCAATATATATATGTCTAAATGCGCACTCCGAAGGCAGCTTACTTTTCAGAAGAGAATGTGGCACAGTCTAATAAACTTATTCTACTTCTTTTACTGTTATTTTAATTAATCGAAAGATTTTCGTGATAAAAGTAGTCAACCTAACATATGTGAAAGTTATATTTTTTTTTGGCTATTTTATATATACTTCATTTTCTATAATTTTTTCTATAAACTTTATAAATAACTTTTTTAAAGCTTTTTTAGTTTTACTTTTTCTATATTTTTTGAAGTATTCATTTTTTCTTTCCATATTTTTTTAATTTATTTCAATATTTATAATTAAAATAAATACTTTGAGACTTTTTTTAGTTTTTTTTTTATAAAAATTTATTTAACAAATTTTTATTTTTTTTAAATTTTTAAAATTTTTTTACAGTAATTTTATTTTACTTTTTATTACTATCTTATAAATTTATTCAGACACACTTGATGATAATTGTTTCAAATTCTTTTAATAGTTTTTTTAATTTTTTAAAATAAATTTTATTTGGATTTACAGTTTTTTTTAATATTTTTTGTTTATTTTAGTTTTAGATCACATTATATTAAAAATTGTTTAGCAAATATTTTTTTACTTACTCATCAACTAATTCTATTTTAATAAAAATTAAATACAAATAATATTTTTATAATTTTTATAGTACCTTCGTTTTTTATTTATTTATTTTTTATTAATGAAAATTTTTATATTTATTGACTTTTTTATTATTTTTTTAAGGAGAAGAACGACGCAAAATTTTGCATTCCACTTTCGATTTTAACTGCGATTGTTTGCTTTGTAAAGAAGATCTCAAAACGCAATAAAAAAATTTATAATAATTTACATAATCAATAGACATTGATTAATTAAACTATATAATAAAAATTAAGTAAATTATTTAATTATAAATTAATTCAGATTAATTTTCTTTTACAGTGGAAAAAAATATATATCATGAATTTTCTAATAATCTAATTTTTTTTGAATCAGTAATTTTATTTTTCTGAAAATTATGGTACTCGCACCTTTATTGATTTTTAAAAAATTATTAAATTATGTAGTAGTAATACAAGTTTTTGGTTGTAACGAGGATTTATAGTTTTTGTTAATTATATTTCAAACTTTTTTTTTAACCAAAATCTTATTAGATGGCGGCCCTTTTTTTTTTTTTCAAAACAAATTACAGTATAAAATGTACTTTTTAAGTTATTGCTTGTATTTGGTAAAGTTTAATTTTATATACTAATATGTTTTATAATAAATTAAATAATAATAAATTTATAGTTAAATTTATTTTAATAATATAAAAAGCTTATTAGGAAGACTTTGAAAATTACATATTATTTTTATACTGCTCTTATATTTAATTTATAACAAAACGAAAAATAATAATTATATAAAAAATATAATGAAGTAATTAAAACAATTGAGTTTTACAAACGTATTAAAATTATAATTTAAAGTCAGAAACTTTAATATATTGATGTTTTATTAAAATTAAAAGTGTTTCTTTATTAGTTTACATTTGTACTTTTCAACTAAATATTGTCACATTTTTATAATAAAAATATTTTTTGTTAACTTGTCCATGTTCTCTTTTTTATTTACCTGCAAAAAACTTTTAGTGAAGTTTGTACTTTAATAAATATTAAAGTTTTACATATAACACTGTATTTCTGTAAGACAAAAGTTTGAGTGCTAAAAACAATAATAAATAAAGTTTATTGGTATTTTCAATTTTTACAACAAAGAAATTAAATTTTAATTTAGAAATATAAATTAAATTATTTCATTTATCATACTTTAAATTTATCAAAAAATATAATATGATTTCGATTTTACTAATACATATTAAAACAATTTTTACTATAATATACTAGATTGAAGGTAGATGTATTATTGGAAATATACAATTAAATAATTTGTTCAGCAAGGTTTAAATTGTGATCTAATTAAAAAATGAAAAATATTGTAAAAATTAATAAGTTTATTATCTTTTTATTTAAAACATCATATTTATGAAATTTGTTTATAAAATTAACTTCTACCGTTAAAAATTAACTTTTTGCAAGTAAATTTAAGTTTTATTTTTAGTAGTAATATAAACCGATGTATTTAATTTTTCTAAGTCTATAAGGTTCAATAAAAATCAATTTTACTAAGCTCAACTATTTATTTAGCTAAAACATTTATAATTTTTTAAATTTTTTAAGCAACTCGTAACAGAAGTTTAGCCTTTTAAAATTAATTTTATCATTTTTTGTTACCGTTTAGTTTTGGTAAACTTATAAAAATAAATGTGTAAACTTTTTTTTATTTTTAGGTCAATTTGTATATTACTTTATAATGGCTACTGTTAAATATATAAAGTACTTATAAAAAAAAAATTGTAGTCCTTTTTATTTCCTGTTCGATTATATATTCATATTTATTTTATAGAAAGTTAAAAAGATTAATAAAGTAATGGTATAAAAGGGTGTTTTTAGAGCTAAGAAAGCTGGTTCACTTTTATTCACTAGTCTTCAATTTACTCTATGTCAACTCAATTTTGTACTATTACTTTTATTATTATTTCGTTTTTTATATTTATATCATTATTTTTCTGTTGCTATTCCGTTTTTTTAAAAAGGTTTTGTATTTTGGCTTTCTTTGTATAGTGTTTAAGTTCAATAACAATACCTCTTTTACTTTAGTTTTGCCGAATTTGGTAAGAATTTAAAGAACTATTAAACTTTAAAAAAGACAACGAAATTCTCGAGCAGTTAAACGTTTCAGTGAACATAATTAATTTTTTAAGAATTGGAACAGACGTCATTTACGTTTAACGTTTTCGGTAATCCTTGCTTAATACAAGCTTAAAGTACGAAAACAAAGTACAAACTACTTAAAACATAATACGTTATAACAAAACTAAGCAGTCTGCGCTCGATCTTACAGACCATTTGCGCAAATTATTAATATTTGTAGTGATAAAACAAAATTTTAAAAACCTTTTTAGAGCTCGGAATTCGGTGTTTTGTTGGCTCGATCGCTCACTAGGAATTACTAATTTCAAAAAAATGGGGCTTTTGGGAATTTTGCTGTCTGCCTCTGCACCTGCCGGCAGTTCTGACTCAGTAGTTTTATCCTTGCGCATTTTAAATTAATTTTAAATGATTTTGGTTTTGAGTAAAATTTATATTAAATTTTGTGTCGCTACTTAGCTAGTGTCAAGAAGAGTACAACGAATTTCATAAACTATGTAAACCATAACTTTTTTTTTTTTCATTGTTCGATTAGATACTATTTGTTATTAATTATGCACTGTTAACTGTTATAAGCTTACTTAAATATATTTCTTACAAAAATATGAATTTTTTTGAAGTTATAAGAGTTACTTGATTATTTTTTTAAGAAAATCCAAAGTCATGACTAATACTACACTGTTATTTTTCCCTTCATAGTTATCTCTAAGTTTCAAGTTATTTGGTGGAAGGAAACGTATAGCTCTTTAATAATATATGAAACCGAGTGTAGTAATACTTTGAAAATATTGAATTTTTATAGAATGCGGGATATCTTTTTGGATTATCTTTAACATTAACTATTACGTGAGCAGATTTCCTAGTAAACAAACTTGGTGTGGTAAAGTTCTGGTGATTTCTTGCAGAGACAGCACTTTAGTTAAATAATAAGTAAAAAATATATGTGCACCAAGTTCCCGGTAAAGAAGACACGTCGCTTCTAAAGATGTATTGTTAAAAAGCCTAGAAATAGCAAAATTGAGGAAGTATATTTTAAAGAAGTATTAAAGAAAACAGCTGATAAAATATAAAAATAGGTAAAAGAGTTGTTCTTTATAATATATAAATAAAACTAAACTAAGATTTTATAACCAATAGGAATTAAAGAAGTAAATTTACTAGAGTATAAACTATAAAATTTTTCTAAGTTGCTTAATACAATACTACAAAAATTTTATAACTTAAGTGCTTATTTTGCAACACTAATAAATAAGTTTTTTGTACCATAGATATAAAAAAATGGTGAAATTTTATGTTAGAATTTCGACAAAAATAATGGTATAAAGACAAGAAATAAAATAATTATTAATATACGAAGTAATATTGTTTCAGGCGGTTTCGAAAAGAAAAAAACTTCAAACAGTGAAAATAGGATATGTAACATATGTAAATATAACTTTTTTTTGTTATGTTCGTAATTGTCATTTTTAATAAGAATACCTTGCGGTATACCACCAAATTTATTTTTTTCTGTACTTTACAATAGTTTTTGTATACTTAGCATTTAACTAAAACTAGATTTTTCAGAGACTAAGACATAGTCAAGTATATGAGAATAAAATTATCAATTCTATTAATATAATCTAGAAAGCAAGGTAAATGCAAGTCTTCTGAGAAAGGAGACTAAATAGAAAGGTCCTGTAGCATTACGAAAATAATAGTTTTTGTTTATAAACACTAAATTGAGTACAGCCTTTTTCAAGGTTGCAAACAACTTTAGTTCAATTACAATTGCGTTGAGTAAATTCAAATTTTTTCTAAAACCATAACACTTTTTGACTCTAAACTTTAGATTGAGTACAGTCTTTATTTAAAAGTCACTAAGTTAAAATAAGTTCAAAGGTATCTTTAGTTTGATAACAGTCGTAAAGAGTAAATTCAAATTGTTCCCTTGGAAAGAAAACCTTCTGCTTAAAGTGTAATAAAAGTTTGATAACTATCACGTAGATTTACCCAAGTTTATGATTGCGTTACCTTTAATTCTGTATACTTTAAGCATTTTATTTTTCTAGCTTACAAAGAAGAAAATTTAAAGCTATGCTGGTTAAATTATTGCGGTTATCCTTTAATTGCATCGGCACTATCTTTCATCTTTGCCCTAAATACTATTTTATAACGGTTTTTTTTTGCGTCTTAATAATTTAAACTTTTTTTTTTGGTGTTTTCCTGTTCCTTTTACAAGATTGCTACCTTTATTTATGGACTTAATGGTTCATATTGCTTTTATACTTAAAATGTTTTAAGTAGTGACAAGAAAAAAGTATTCTAGTCAGACTGTAACAGTTAAACAATATATAGCAAGTACAGATAAGTAGCTATACAATTAACAAAAAAAAGTTGGTTATTAACTATTTAGCATAACGTATTTTATATTTTATTAACGTAAGGATTAAGCAGTGTCTGAATTCCTGATTTGTAATAGTATATGCTTATTATAACTAAAGAGAATGCCCTATGAAAACAAACAGTATGTAACATATCAACAAACTTTAAAAAGAACTGCACGCCAAATTTTATAAGATAATAATAAAAACGCAATCTACCGAAATAGTAAATAACTTCCACCATTAGAAAAAGCTTAACAGGAGAAAAAAACTTCTATAAATGAAGTATATTGTATAAAGTAAATATAAAAAAGTACAAAATTTTAGTTTATTCTTAACTTTTTAATAAATACATTAACACATTAAAAAAATATAAACTATTTATGTTTACTAAAACAAGTTAGTAAAATGTATTTTAAATAATTAACTATAACTTTTGCTGAGTTTAAGCCTTTTGAAAATATTAAACTGCGTTCATTGCAGGCAAATATACTTTTACTAACACGAAATTATTTTTTACCTCTTCGTGCCTTATCAAAGTTTTAATTCTGGAAATTTTTACGTAGATGAAGGCAGGTTGTAAGGCACTCTGCTGTTAATCTATACATCCCCTAAACTTTTGTGTTTTAATAATAAGAGGAAAAAGCTAACTAAAATACTTATACATGTGACTTAAGAAATTTTTAGTTCTAGCAATTTTTTTTAATTGTGTGTACG